CAGTGGCACATGCCTGGAGGCTGATGCAGTAGAATCACAAGTTTGAGGCCAGCCTAAGCAATTTAGTGAGACCTTGTCTCAAATTAAAAAAAAAAAATGAAATGGGCTGGGAATGCAGTTCAGTGTTAGAGCACCTCTGGGTTCAATCTGCAGTGCCAAAAAGGGGGGGGGGGGGGGAAGAAAATTGTGGTATAGAACAAATAGCCAAAGCAATCTTGAGCTAAAAGAACAAAGATGGAGGCATCATACTTCCAAACTTTAAAAACAGCATGCTATTGGCATAAAAACAGACACATAGAACAATGGAAAAGAATACAGAATCTAGAAATAAATCCATGAATCTGTAGACAAATGACTTTCAACAAAAGTGTCAATAATACACATTGGGAAAAGGACAGTCTTTTCAATAAATGCTGTTGGGAAAACTGAATGCAATTAGACCCTTAGCTCTGACTAAATACAAAAGTCAAATCAAATCAAAATGGAGTAAAGATTTATTTATTTATGTTTTTTTTTAATGTACTGGATATAGAAACCAGGAGCACATAACCACTGAGCCTTATCCCCAGTCCTTTTTTGTATTTCATTTAGAGACAGGGCCTTGCTGAGTTACTTAGTGCCTTGCTAAATTGCTGAGATTGGCTTTGAACTTGAGATCCTCCTGCCTCAACCTCCCAAACTGCTGGGATTGCTGGCAAGTAGCAGGATGCCCAGTTTGGAGTAAAGATTTAAATGTAAGCTTCATAGCTATGAAACTACCAGAAAAAAACACAGGAAAAATGTTCCATGGCACTGTTCAGGGCAATGATTTTTTTATATGACCTCAAAAGCACAGGCAATAAAAGTAAAAATAGACAAATGGAATTACATCAAACTAAAAAGCTACATGTCAAAGGAAAAATACAACCAAGTGATGAGGCAATCTACAAAATAGAAGAAAATGTTTGCAAACAATAAATCTGATGAGCAGTTAACATCTAAAATATATAAGAAACTCAAACAACTCAATAATGAGAATAAAAATAACCTGAATTTCTAAAATTGGGAAAAAGATCTAAACAGAAATTTCTCAAAGGAGAATAGGTATATGAAAAATGCTAATGACCAATAGGTATATGAAAAATGTTCAACATTACTAATCACCAGGAATTGCAATTAAGAACCACAATAATCTGGGCATGGTGGCACATGTCTGTAATTCTAGCAAATTAGGAGGCTGAGACAGGAGGATTCCAAGTTCAAGACCAGCCTTAACAACTTGAATGAGGTTAAGGAGACTAGAGAATAGGAGAAATATTGGCCAAAAGATATATAATTACAGGTAGATAGAAGGAGTAAATTCAAGGCATGGGGACATGGCTAAATGGTAGAGTGATTGCCTAGCAAGCACAAGACCCTTGGTTTGATCCCCAGCACTGGGAGAGAAAAAGAGTAAGTTCAAAAGAGCTACTATGCCACATGTTAACTAGAATTAATGATAATATGTTGTAGTCTTGAAAACAATAGAGTGGCTAAATGTTCTCACCACAAAAATGTTAACTATGTTCATCAGTTAAATTTAAGCATCCCACAATGTATATATACTTCAAAATATGATGTTATACACAATAAATGCATACAATGTTGTCTGTCAATTAAAAAATATTAACTTTGCCAGATTCAGGGTAGTGCATGCCTTGGTGTGTGGTTGAATTCCAATCATTTGGGCAGCTGAGGAAGGAGGATTGTTGTTCCCAGGAGTTCAAGGATAGCCTAGGTAGAATGGTGAGACTCCATCTCAAAATGAGATAAGATAAAAATTTGAAAATTAAAACACCACATAGAACAACCTAACAAACAAAATTAGGATATATAACTTTATCAATCAATAGTTGTCTTTGCTTTGTTTTTGGTACCAGGGATTGAACCCAGTGGACTTCAACCACAGAGCCACATCCCTAGCCTTTTTTTTTAATTTTTAAAAATTTTTAGCCACACACAGTGGCACATGCCTGTAATCCCAATGGTTCAGAAGGCTGAGGCAGGAGGATGGCGAGTTCAAAGGCAAAAGTGAGGAGCCAAGCAATTCAGTGAAACCCTATATCTAAATAAAATACAAAATAGGGCTGGGGATGTGACTCAGTGATCCAGTGCCCCTGAGTCCAATCCCAGGTCCCGAAAAAAAAAAAAAAAAAACTAATTGTTGCTGGGATTACAAGTATGTGCCAATACACCCAGCAGTATTTATCTTTTTTAAAAATTGTTTCTTTTAAGTTATACATGACAGTAGAATTCATTTTGATATAATTGTACAAGCATGAATATATGTTATTCTACTTAGGACCCCATTTTTATCTTTGGATTATGAAACTAGGAGAAATTTTCCCTCTCCTTTTATAAAGGTTTAATTTTCTATAACCAGCACTTATCAACTTTACACACACAAACACGTACACACAATAAACTTAAAATAGAGGATTATTACATTTTTTTACTGCCTATTCAATTAGTCAAAATGTAATTTCTTGCCATGGATCTAGGCTAATTTAGTGTAATTTGTCATTCTTAAAGTAGTAAAAAGTTATTTTTTTTCCTTCCTGTACATGACAAAAGCACAGAAATCATATTTTTATACAGAGAATATATATTCCTCTAAAACAAATTATAGCTGGGTATGGTGTCACACACCTGTAATCCCAGAGGCTTGCAGCTCAAGCAGGAGGATCATGAATTCAAAGCCAGCCTCAGAAATTTATGGAAGCCCAAGCAATTTAGCGGGACCCTTTCTTAAAATAAAAAATAAAAAAGGCTAGGGATGTGCTCCCCAGCACCCCCCAAAAATAGTTTAGAAGTATGGAAGAGCAAAAATTCAATGTATTTTTAATTTGAAACTCCTATTAATTGGAATTCCTATTAACGTATAGAATATTTTATTAAATGTAAAAAAAAATCTAAGCTGGGCATAGTAGTCCATGCCTATAATCCCAACAACTCTGGAGGCTGAGGCAGTAGTATCACAAGTTGGAGGCTAGCTTCAGCAAATTAGTGAGGTCCTTTCTCAAATTCAAATTTTTTTTTTAAAGTACTGATGATAGAGATCAGTGGTAAAGTGCTCCTGGGTTCATTCCCAGTTCCACAAAAAATAAATAAATCTAAAATGCTAAAGATACTGGGGAGGCACAGGTACATGAATGGTTTTCTATTCTCCAAAGTAACTAGGAAAACAAATCTTGTCTCTAGTTATGCTGAGATAGGTTCAGTAATAAATGCATAATGTTTAAAGATGAATAGAAGAAGAATTAGCGGAGTAACCATATTAATATGACAGTTTATAAAGAAATGTTTAAGGGGCTTGGGATATACCTTAGTTGGTTGAGTGCCTTGCATGTACAAGGCCCTGAGTAAAATCCCCAGCACCACACAAAAAAAGAGAGAAATGTTTAAAGTTTTTGCAATGCCTATGGTTTTACTTGGTATGCCTTCCATATTTTAAATAAAAATATTATGTGTTGTTAATAAATATGAAAAGTTTCTGTGCTTCTAAATCTGAATAATTTTTAAAGCAATACATTGGGTATCTCTAACTATCACTCTTTTGAGGCCTTAAAAATATCTCAAAGGGGATGAGAGGTGGGAGGGAAAGGGAGAGAGAAGGGAAATTGCATGGAAATGGAAGGAGACCCTCAGGGTTATACAAAAGTACATACAAGAGGAAGTGAGGGGAAAGGGAAAAATAATACAAGGGGGAGAAATGAATGACAGTAGAGGGGGTAGAGAGAGAAGAGGGGAGGGTAGGGGAGGGGAGGGGGGATAGTAGAGGATAGGAAAGGCAGCAGAACACAACAGACACTGGTATGGCAATATGTAAATCAATGGATGTGTAACTGATGTGATTCTGCAATCTGTATATGGGGTAAAAATGGGAGTTCATAACCCACTTGAATCAAAGTGTGAAATATGATATATCAAGAAATTTGTAATGTTTTGAACAACCAACAATAAAAAAATTAAAAAAAAATATCTCAAAGGTATTTTACATAAATAATATTTCTATTTTACTGTAAAAATAATAGATATTCATAATAAAAATTGGTATAAAGAGAAGTTTTTTTTTTCAAATGGTACTGGAAATGGAACCAAGGAGTGCTCTACCACTGATCAACATCCCCAGCTGGCAATTTTTATTTTGAGAGAGGGTCTCAGCTAAATTGTCCGGGCTACCCTTGAACTTGTAATCATCCTTACTCAGCCTCCTGAGTAGCTAGGATTTACAGGCATGAGCCACTGCACTTGCAGAAGCACATTTTTTTAAAAAAATGCATATAACTAGTACCACAAAAGTGTGTATAAGTGAGAGCAGCCTTAATAATGATATCATGATATTACATAAGATGACAAAATATTTTAAATGGAAAATATTTATGACAAATGCTAGGTTGAAAATATGCAAGATACAAATTTTACAAAGATTATCCTAAGTTTACATACACCAATACAAATGTACTTCTTATACTTTTATATAGTTCTCAATTTTTCTCTAACAGTAATATAAAATTATGTTGAAAAAAGAGGACTTATGGCAGCAGTAGAACTCACATCTGTGCTATGTCAGACCTTGAATTCTAAAGATTAGAGGGAGAAAAACTAATCTACTTTTAATCAAAATAATGGAGTCCAGACTTGATTTGCCTAGCTGTATGAACTGGATCAAGTATACTTAATCTCTTTAGAGCCCATTCCTTGGCTCTAACATAATAGGATTAAACTAGATAAATTCTTTGGTAACATTCAGTTTTAAGATTCTATAACTCAAAAGAATTAAAGCAGGTATTGCCAAAAGGAAAATTTTTCATATTTGGAACCACAATCAATAAATCAAACTAAGTAAAGTTTTAATAATAATAGATTTTAGTAAGAACCCTCACTCAACTCAAGTAATATCACACATGTTTTACAAAAAGGATTATTTTTATGTGATATCCCACTAAATTCTGATATTTGCAGAAATAAGTCATACTTACACAGGTTGAGCTGCCGTATGAAGCTGGATATATTGTTATGTTTGAAGTATTTTGGAAGTATGTTTTTGGCAAAGTTTTGTTCATTCACAACGAGAAAGCTGTGACCATTCTAGAAATAAGATCAAAAAGTAGTTATTTACAGAAAAAAATGAAGTTTCAATAAAGCAGCAGTTCAACAACAATGCATCAGGAACCAAGAACTTGAAAGACTTGTGAAAATGTCAAGCCAAAAATTATAAGAACATTTGTGTTAGGGTTCTAGTTTAGTGATAACATGCTTTCTAGGACTTGGGTTCAATCCCTACCTACCACTGGGGAAAAATTGTTCTATAAAGAGACAGAATATGTCATAGAGAGAAAACATTAAGAAAAAGGTAATAGGTTGGCTACAAAATGAAAACATGTACAAAAACCATAAATCAAGAAAGCATAAACAAAATTAAAAGGCAAATATTAAGTGAAAGAAATATTTTAGCACATATAACAAAGAACATTATTAAAATATAATGAATGCTTTCAAATTGTCAAAACACATAAACTCCATTTGAAAAAAAAATAAGAAATAATTCAAAACATTAGACAATTTTGAAAAAAAAAGTATTCAAAATGTGAATTAGAATGGTCCTGAGTTGGAAAGATGATGGTCACCTATAATCCAGACTATTTAAGAGGGTGAGGCAAGAGAATCACAAGTTCAAAGCCATTCTGTACCACACAATGAAACCCTGTCTGAAAGCAAAATTAAAGTGTCTAGGGGGCTGGGGATATAGCTCAGCTGGTAGAGTACCTGCCTCACATGCACAAAGCCCTGGGTTCAATCCCTAGCACCACACACACACACACACACACACACACACGCAAAAAAAAAAAAAAAAAAAAAAAAAAAAACGTGGCTGGGGATGCCACTAAGAGGATGAATATCTGCCTAGCATATATCAGCACCTAGGTTCAATCCCTAGCACTGAATAATCACTAGCATGAGAGGTGGGAGGGAAAGGGAGAGAGAAGGGAAATTGCATGGAAATGGAAGGAGACCCTCATTGTTATACAAAATTACATATAAGAAGAAGTGAGGGGAAAGGGAAAAAAACAAGAGAGAGAAATGAATTACAGTAGATGGGGTAGAGAGAGAAGATGGGAGGGGAGGGGAGGGGAGAGGGGATAGTAGAGGATAGGAAAGGCAGCAGAATACAACAGTCACTAGTATGGCAGTATGTAAAAACGTGGATGTGTAACCGATGTGATTCTGCAATCTGTATACGGGGTAAAAATGGGAGTCCATAATCCGCTTGAATCAAATGTATGAAATATGATATGTCAAGAGCTATGTAATGTTTTGAACAAGTAATAATAATAAAAAATAAAAATAATAAAAAAGAAAGAAGGAATAAATAAATAAAGAATAAAGAAATTCAAATTATATCATATATATTAAATATTATATTTATATATGTTCAATATTAAATTATATTAAATAATTATTGATATATACAGAGATTTATCTATAAACTGTTACATAAATAATTGTATTTAATATTTAAAATTGAAATAACATACTAAGAGAATGACAAATCCATACAAATGAATGTCATACTGACATAAAAATAAAGCTATAGAAGTGTATTTAATGATATGGAAATGTTAATAATGATATATTTTAAGTAAAAAAAGCAAATTTTCAGACAGTATAAAATAAATCTTTTTATATTAAATATATTGGGCTGGGGTATAGTTCAGTGGTAGAGTGCTTGTCTGGCAAGTGTAAGGCCCTGGGTTGGATCACCAGAACCACACACAGAAAAAAAGACCCACAAAAGAATATTTTGCAAATTGTTAACAGTAATTTCACTGGATGGTAATATGACATTTTTTTTGCTTATTTTTATTTTCTAAATTTTCTAAAACAAATGTATTTCAATAAAAATTATTTTAAAAGTAGTAAAAGGTGGTAGTGCTCATTCTCTAAAATTAAATTTAATGTTCAATGAAATTATAAAAAATGTATTAACTTCAATATTATGTTGCTTAAATTTTAATATCCACTTGGACTAAGATTTAGAAAAATATGCTTATCTGTCATGTCCCCATATTACCTAACAATTAGTTCAGTTCTTTAGAAGTGAAATGGATCATCATAATCCTAAAAGGCACTGAGAGAGAAAAATCCAAGAATTTTAATTCATTCTAGTCTAGTTTGTTCTCAGACTTCCTGAGTCACTCTTATTAAAGGTGTGTGTTTTGGCTGGGGATTGTCTTTAATTGGAATTGCCTCTCAAGAGCCCTTGGGACTATCTATAAACTAAACTAAATTATTCTCAGAACAGAATCCCCAGAATTCACTCAGCTCATGCTTTTCCCAGAATTGACTGGACTTCAGAGATAAGAGAAAATAACAGAGAAATCTGCATAATGTCAGATTAGACTATTCCTTCCCTTGATCAACCCTCTGTGGAGATACAAACAAATGATGATTCAATTAAAAATAATCAGGAAGTGAAAAAGGCCCTAGAGAAAATTACTTCTAAATTGGATAAATGGTATCTGAATATTTAGAGGTTCGATAATAATATATAATAAAAGTGCAAGTAAAATATGATAATGTATGTTCCAGTTTAAATATATTATATATTGGTCCATCCTTAATTTTATAAAAATTAAACTATTAATACTTAAAAAAGGAAGTGTATAAAAAGATGAATTAGTGATTATTTAAATTACATAAGGAATGACAACACTGATTGCCTTTAAAGGGTACATTCTCCTTCATATATTTAAAATATTTGACTGAAAGAACCTACATGCCCATGTCCAGAAAACATGAGGAAAGATTATATTACTTACAGCATATTTCTATGACAAAATATACTGTAACTCCTAAAAATATTGTCTTAGATAAAACTTTGCATAATGTAATATTTTAAGTGTTTTCCTTCTTAAAAATTGGCTTTATTCTGATTGTTAAAATGATAATTATCAATGTAAAGAACAACAAAGAAAAATAAATCATAAAATTCCCACCATCCAAAGATAGCAATTGTTAACATTGTAAAGAACTCCCAGGCTATCAAAACATATACACTGAACTTTCTTTCTGTATGTTTATAAATACATACATGGAGGGCGGCTCAGTGATAGAGCGCTTGCCTGGCACACATGAGGCACTAGGTTCAATCCTCAGCACCACATAAAAATAAAATAAAGGTATTGTGTCCACCTACAACTAAAAAATACATATTAAAAATATATATGTATACCTGAATATACACTGATATATACATATAGACACTGATATATATGTGTGTACAGAAACACAAAACACGAAAAGTACAAATAAAATTGAAGTATCACCTCCTATAAATAAGCACTGTTTCATATTTGGGTATATTTACTTTAGTTTTCAGTTTATAAATTTTCTATGATAAGCATACATTGTATTCAGAATTTTAAATTTATTTAAAATTACTTGAGGGCTGCAGTTGTCACTCAGTGGTAGAGTGCTTGCCTAGCATGCATGAGGCAATGAGTTTGATCCTCAGTACCACATAAATATAAAATAAAAATATTGTGTCCACCTAAAGCTAAAAAATAAATATTTTTTAAAAAATTTTATTGAGGGCTGGAGATATAGCTCAGTTGGTTGAGGGGTTGCCTCACATGCACAAGGCCCTGGGTTCAACCCCCAGTATCACAAAAAACAAACAAAAAATTGTTATTATCACAAGACCCTATGTTGCACAGGTAGCATATAGACACACAAAAAGCTCTTATCCTTTAATTTGGTAATTCCCATCCTAGGAATCTATTCCAAAGAAGCAGAACCCATGAAAAAACCTTTCTGCACAAATGTATTCATCATGTCAACATGAGATAATGATGATGATAACCATGACTATGATGATTAGAAACCAGGTCTTGACCAGGCACAGTGATGCATGCTGGTAATCCTAGCAGCTGGGAAAGCTGAGGCAGGAGGATAGAGAGTTCAAAGCTAACCTCAGCAAAAGTGACGTACTAGGCAACTCAATGAGACCCTATCTCTAAACAAAATACAAAATAGAGCTGGGATGTGACTTAGTGGTCGAGTGCCCCTGAGTTCAACCCCTGGTGCCCCCACCTCCCAAAAAAGAAACTAGGTCTTGCTACATTGCCCTGGGTGGTCTGAAACTTGTGGACTCAAGATATCCTCCTCAATCACTGAGTTGCTGAAACTACAAATGCACAGCAAAATATTTTTTAAATATTCAATTTTGAGTATGGAAAAATGGTCAAAATATAATACTAATTAAAAAAGTTAATTACAAAATTTCAGAGTATGATCTTTATATTTATATGTGTGTGTATATATATATGTGTGTGTGTGTGTATATATATATATATATATATATATATAAGTTGTTGATGGACCTTTACCTTTATTTTTTTTATTTGTATGTGGTGCTGAGAATCAAACCCAGTGCCTCATGCATGCTAGGCAAGCACACTATCACTGAGCCACAACCCCAGCCCCATGATCTTAATTTAGTAAATAAATATGCATTTGTAAAGATATATGTCAACCTGTATGAATACATTTATATCACCGTGTAAGAAAACACATAAAATTTGGGTTATCTTTGAATGTTGTAATTATAGACATTTTTTTATGATGTCTATAATAATTTCCAAATTTCCATGCATACATACACAAACACACACAGTTGTTCAAGCTTCAGTACTCGTGCACTCATTTATATTTATAATATCTGAAAGGGAATAATTGTTTTATTTTAAAAATTTTTTAAATATATTTTTTTCTTTTAGCTGTACATAATGCCTTTGTTTTTATTTATTTATTTTTATGTGGTGCTGAAGATCGAATCCAGGGCCTTGCATTCACTAGGCAAGCACTCTACTGCTGAGCCACAATCCCAGCCCTTTAAAATTTTTTTCTTTGACATATTTGTATATCTTTATGATGTGTATATGTATTATACAATTTTGGTATATGAACACAATGTATAATAATCATCAATATAATTAGTGTAGGCATCCTTCAACACTTAAGATTTTTATTTTTTTTAACTTTATTTCATTTATTTATTTTTATGTGGTGCTGAGGATTGAACCCAGTGCCTCACACATGTGCTAGGTAAGTACTCTACCACTGAACTACAACTCCAGCCCCCACTTATGATTTTTATATGTTGACAATCTTTGGACTTCTTTGTAGTTATTTTAAAATATATCATAAATTGTTGTAGACTATAGTTACCTATTGTGCTATAGAGCACTAGAACTTATTTCTCCTAACATTATTTTGGTATCCATTATGCAACCTCCCCTATCCCTCCAGCACCCTTCCTAGGCTTTAATGACTATCATTTTAATATCTTTTATGAAACATTTTAGGGGCTGGGGTTGTGGCTCAGTGGTAAAGTGCTCACCTAGCATGCAAGAGGCACTGGGTTCGAGCCTCAGCACCACATAAATGTAAAATAAAGATATTGTGTCTGCCTAAAACTTAAGAATAAATATTTTTTTTAAAAAAACCTTAAAAGTGCTTACTAGCAAATATTAATTGCACAAAATAATGGGTTTCTTTCTGATATTTTCATACATGCATATAATGTACTTTGATCATATCCACCCTCCCTATTACTCTATCCTTCCTCCCTCCTCCTGATCCCAGTACCCTTTCC